AAAAAAAAACTGAGGAGGGGATTCATGAACCTAGCTCACTCCCCACCCCTGCAGCTCGCTGTTCCTTCCATTCTACCAAGAAGCCACCGTGATTGTGAAGTTTTCTAAAAACGTACTAGCTTTCCAGTAATAGTACACTTGGGGTTTTTAAAAAATTTTTTTGTATGTGTGTGTGTGCATGTACCATCAAATCAGATCTGACTGGTACAGGAGGAGACTGTCCCTCCTTCTCCAGCAGAGCATCTGGTGGATTCGAACCAGGCAACAGTACACTTGTTATGCACCATAATCAAGTTGGTTTTGATTCCTAACTCCCCTAGCTATGTGGGTTCTGGAATGTCAGTGAAATTGACTGCCCCAGGAGTCATTTCAAGCTCAGGTTCAAACCACCAATCTATCCTTAGCAGTTTCTTGCTTCACCACCAGAGAGGGCTTCTTCATGAGGAAGTTCCCAAACCCCACCTCGATCTCACTGGGTCCAGCTCATGGAAACCCCCCACTGGTGCCCGAGGCAGTAAATCACCAGGGAGGAGACTGTCCTCTTTCTCTTGCAGAGCAGCTTGTGGATTTGAACTTATAGAGACGCTTGGCCCGTGGGCTTAACAGCACAATTCACTACTGATTACCCCAGCAGAGCTCCCCTCTACTAAGGAAGCATCAGTTTATTTTCTATTAATTTGGGAATCATAGAACATGTAAAAGTCACAGATTGATCACTTATTTATCTTTACTATCATGATAGCTGTGAAACTTTTGTTTTTTCCCCTAACAGAATGCTTGCATAATCACTTAAGAGTATTTGGTTTTTACTGGCTCATACTCTGAAGGGTTTGTTTGTTTTTTTTTTAAACAATATCTAATAGTTACATCCTTATAATTTCTCTTCCACTGTTGAAAGTTCCAGCTTATACTTTATAGTAATTTACCAATCAAAGCTACTATCATTTATTCACTGGATAACTGTTTTCTTCCCCCCGCCCCCAAAATTGAATGCTTGCATAATTGCTTCGAGTATTTGGGTTTTTACTGAAGGTTTACTGGAAAAAGGACCAAAGATCTGGCAGTTGACACTACCTTTAATAATAAAATGGTGGCCTGTTGATGGGCAGAGCACAGATGTGGCACGCCAGGGTGGAAACGGGAAGGGGCGGCTGCATTTGCTCAAGCTGGAGGTTACCATGAAGTCATGTAAGAATTGAGGCAAGGGGACTAATGCCAAGTGAATCAGTTCAGCAATGCTCTTTAGGGGAAATCGGAGCTATAATAACACGTAAAACCGGCACAGCATTTTAGAGCCTGCAAATTGTTTTCAGAAATGGGAAAATTCATTGGATTACAAGCTCTTGCTATTAGAAATTCTTGGCAACATGAAAAGTGGCAAAATTGATCCTTTTGCTAAAGTAGCAATTTATTCTAAAAGGATAAAATGTTCTTTTATGTGTTCTCCCAGGCAGTACACGAACTTCCACACACTTCTATCACAGTACTTACCACGCTGAACATAATCTGCCCGTCTGCCTACTTGTACACGTTCCTAAACCACAGGTTCCGTGCAGGCCAGAGTGGCCTATCTCGTGCAGCCTGGAAACCTCACGCACAAATGCCTGGCACCCAGCAAGCACTCAGTCATTCTAGTCTAGCCACTGCTACGGTCTGCGCTGGGCTACATTTTAAGTAAACATAATAAGCATTAAAACAAGTGTAAAGTTAAAATGCTTTTAAAAGGCAACGAAGAAGTTAGGATGGGGGAGAGAAGAGGGTGAGAAGACGAGGGGTAGGAGCGGGGGGTACAAAGTGAGGCTTCCTGGCTGCGCGGAGTCCCTTTCGCCACTCTTACTCAAGATGGCTTTTGTCTTTATTCTTTCCGTAGAAGCTCACCTTGGGAAAGGAGTAGTAATGAACTGACTTCTCAAAGGCCACACCTGCCACTAGCTTCAGCACTGGCCACTTTAAAAAGAGTAACAACAGTGAATGAATGGAAATCCAAGTTTTTGGTAAGCTTTTGTTAAAATAGCAACAAAAGAAACCAAAAATTTTTAAAAAAGATCAAAAAAACCCACAAAAAAAACCACACAACAAACTTGGGAGGAATGCCAAGAAGGGGAAAAAAAAAGAATAACAGGTCAACCCACTGTTTCCACGGCCACCAGAGGAGGTCTGTCACTCTACCTCTTCAGGGTGGTAGGGTCTGGCTGCATACACTCATTTATTTAACCCAGTAAAACGAAACCATGCAAACACCTGGCTGTATCTTTATCTCAAGTAAGTTTCCCTAAACCGAGCTCTCTATGAAATTTATCCATTTACGGTAACTCCTCTCGCCCCCACAAGTGTAGGGCTGTCCTCTGTCATTAAAGCAGCCTGAGCTGGTTGAATGTTCTTCATTCAGGAACATGCGCTTGTTTACTAGTTAAGACACCGAATTGATATTTCTTTAAGACAGAAAGATATTAGAAACTGCTTCAACTACTTAATCATAGTATTTTACACTGTTTTTCCAAGAAATGTTTTCTCTTTTACAGGTAACCAGGATATGGATAAGTCGGATTCTCTGATGTCTGCTTTCTCTCAACAACTGCCATGGGAGGTGACATTCTTCACTCAGTGGCTCCCCTCATAATACAACATCTGCCCACCCTCCGTGCAGTGCACTGGTAAATCTACCTCTAACTTTCCTACCTTGTCGGAAACCAGAGAGTCCTTTAAAGTAGCTCAAGCTTTCTTCAGGAAAACCAACTACTTAATTCTAACAAGCATTAAGGTAAGGGACGGAAAGAGAGTTAGAAGGGCTTGCCTTTGCCAGAGGGAGGGAGCAAAGTCGGAGAAGAGGGAAAAGTCTAAGCCTCTCACCATAATGGCCACAGCAGCGCACGCCTGGGAAGCAAGAGCTTAGCCTCACCTGGGCTCTCATCCCAGAACTGCCACTGACAATGTATTTCTTCTTGCTGCTCAGCATAGTGACATTACCAGCCTTATGGCCACTTCTTCGGTCCAGGGACCCTTGTGGCCAGGCCTTTAAACCTTCCTCATCAGCAGTTCTGTTGGCTCTAGATCCGGCTAGCTTTTTTTTTTTTGAGGGGGGTGCCTACCCTGGAATCCCTGAAGCTGCTCCAACAATTCTCCAGCAGCAGAGCCCCATCTTAATAAGGCCTTTCTGCGAGTGGTTGGTTCATCAGCCATTCTGAACTCTGGAGGCTGGCTTGTTGGGTTGTTGTCGGTTTTTTTCCTAAACGCCTAATTACACGGATCCACTGACCTCTAAACCTTAACAAGTCCCTTGACAAGGCGCAACATGCATGTGCATAACAATAGCTTATTTATATAACTGGTGCACTTTTTTGTCAGCTATAATTAACTAGCTAATTAGGTTCCTTTTTAACCTTACCTCCTCCTTTTCCCTGTCAGATGACTTCAGTTAACCTAGTCTCATTTGAAAAAAATTAACTACAGAGTCACTAAAACAATGAGGGAATTTATTAAGGCAGTAAGAAAAAAACCCAGTAATGGTGCCAAGTGCTCAGGCAGCCGCTGCAACACTGTGTCCTCAGGCTCGTCAGCGTGGGGACAGTTCCCTCTGTCCCCTGCTTTACACTTTGCTGTACACCTTTTATACCAGTGTCTCACTTCACTGTAACCCCTGTGGTGCACTTTTATACCAGTGTTCATTTACACTTGACTCTGTACCTTTTACATCAGTGTTTTGACTCCGCCTATCTCAGAAGTGGTGAGTGACCTTGTGGGTTCTTTCCTTTGATTTCTGTGTGTTCTTCACCTTCCCACCCCACCTAATTTCCATTCCCCTCCCTGCCCTCCTCACCGCAGAAAAGAAGTATGTGTCCTGTGGAAGCTGTGACTAGAAGGGGAGTTCCTTCTTTCTTAGTTCCCAGAATCACAACTACCTTGTTATGTGCCAGACAGACACAAATGAAAGGGCAAAGAATCATGTTACTTATTGATTTCTGAAAGGGACAAGAGAACAGCAAATCTAAACTCAACTCTTAGAGGAACAAGGGTGAGGATGTGATCAGAATTCTTTCTTTACAGATGACTGCTTATTAAGAACAAGAAGGAAGATAAAAGGAAAGGTTTGGGGTTCGGTTTTTCCCCCAGGATCTTTATTTTACGGCAAAAGGTCACCAGCTGCCATGGATGCTGACTCATGATAACTCATGTGTCGGTCACAAATTGTTCTCTTAGGGGTTTTCAGTGGTTGACTTTGTTTTTGAAAAGTGGCTCATCAGGCCTTTTTTTCAGAGATCTTTTTTGGGTGGACTCAAACTGCCAACCTTGTAGTTAACAGCAATGTCAACTGTACCACCCATGGAACCACAGATTCTGGGAAGGGGTGGAGAACAAGCAGCTTTGTCGCACATACTTTGGGCATGTTAGTAGGAAAGGTTATTCTATGGAGAGGGACATCATGCTTGGGAAGGTGGTGGGATGGTGAAGGAGAGGAAGACCCAGAGGGGTTGACACAGCAACTGCAGCAATGGATTTGAGGGTGTCAGAGACTGTGAGGACGGCACAGGCTAGGACAGGGTTCAGATCTGTTGTTGACAGGGTCACTATGAGTCGTACTTGCCTCAACAGCACCTAACAACAACAACACATGCACCGCTCTAGTGGCTTAGTGGTAAGGAACTGCACTGCCAATGCACAGGTATGCTGTTCAAATCCACCAGCTGCTCTGTGGGAGACAGGTGGGTAATCTCCTTCCGTTTTCAGAGACGATTTACTGCTGGAGCGCCAGCTATGTGTTGATTCTGACTCAACGATACCAAACAACAACAACATACGCATAGATAGTCCTGTATACAATTAGTTATAATCTGTAAAAGAATTTTAAGACGTGGCCATTATTATACCCTTCTGACAAGTATGGCAAATGCATCTCAAAACGATTCACCTGAGGGCTCACAGTAGGCAAATGATGGACCTGGACTTGGAGCCAGTATTTATATTAGAGGGGACTTGCCCCCCACTTCCACTCCCAATGGATGACATTCATCACAAGACCAAAGAGCTCTCTTGGCCCTGATCCTAGATACACTGGCCTCACCTCATTCCTTCCACTTTATTTTCTATTTTCTTATTAGATTGTGTCTCAGAAATAATATCATCCCAAATGGTCTTGGATCCTAATCAAATCACAGTTCTGAAACAACTAATTGTATCAGGATTTAACAAAACAAAAGACTAACGTCCTTTGATTGGCAACATTGCCAAAGTCATTACCAAAAGTTGAAAGTGAATTCAAATACCAGTGCTTCCCGCCAGCCAGCCTTTACTTGTATGACAAACACGACTTCCTACTCTACTTTTGTGAAATAAGAGGAATTTATTTCCCCCCTTCCTAATGAATCCTTTAACTTCTTCTTCCCTGACCACGAATCGAATGCTCACCCTAGTACACTCTAAAATGGTTTAAGCTAAGGGAGCTCTGGTGGCCTAGTGGCAAGAAGCTGCGATGCAATCCCGAAGGCACGTGGCTTGAATCCGCCAGATACTCTGCTGGAGAAGGAGAGGCAATCTCCTCCTGTGCACTGGCTCGATGGTAAGCAACAAGAAAATGGGATAGGAAAGAAAGGGGGGGAGAAGGGAGAAAATGGTTTAACTTAACTGAACAGAACCAGAGGCAGTTGCTGAAAAATGGTTTAAGTTAACTGATCTGAGCCAGAGGCAGCTACAGACCTACACCAAATACAATTAGAAGACACATTTTAGAACATTGACAGGAAAACCTTACCTCCTCACAAATGTGACAGAGTAGTTCTTCTCTAACTTTAGTCTGCATCAAGACTAGCTAATTAAAACATAGGCTGCTGAACCCCACTAGAACCCAAAGTTTCTGACTCAGTAGGGGGAGCTTTTAACTACAAGTTTGGAAGTCTGAGTCTACTCTCAAGCTCTCTGGAAGACAGGCCGGGTGATTCACTTCCAAAAAAAAAAATCAGCCAATGAAAATAGCTGGACAGAGTTTTGATGTACAAGGGACCACCATGAGGAGGAATCTACGGCCTAGCAACTGGTTTTTATGTTTGCTTGGGTTTTTTAAGGTCTGGGGTGGGACCAAGCATTTGCAATTTCTAACAAGTTCCAAGGTAATCTGATGCTTGAACTGGGGACCAATTTGAGAACCACTATTCTGATCTTTTTTTCCCCAAGTATGAGCCCCGATTCTCTTCATTTTCACTCTTTGTTGCTGTTGAACCATCAAGTTGGTTCCACCTGAGGGTGACCCTGTGTATAAGAGAATAAAACCCGGTCCCGTCCTGCGCAATCCTACTCACTGCTGATGCTTGGACTTAACTGGTGCAGTCACTGCATAGATCAGTCTCATTGAAGGTGTTCCTCTTTCACGGACCATGATGTCTTTTACTTAGCCTTTCCTTCCCCAGCGATTGCTTCCTCTTAATAGCATGTATGTGAAGGCTCACCATCCTCCCGTCTAAGGGGTATTCTAGCTATACTTCTTTTAAGACAGATTTGTTTGTTCTTCTGGCAAGCCAATATTTAGTATCCAGCCCCAATACCATAATTCAAAGGGACCAATTCTTTTTCAGTCTTCTTTATTCATTGGCCAATTTTCATATGTATATAAACCAAATGAAAATATCATGCCTTGGGGCAGGTGCACCTTAGTCCTGAAAATTACATCCTTGCTCTCTAACATCCATGATTCCTTAGCCATCTATTTGATCCTGTCTGTGGTTACAGCCATGAATGCACATTCATCGACAAAAAAGAAGAGCTGGGAATGAATAGTTGGTCCAACCATGAAGGCACATTCACAGGCTGAAACGGTTAGAGACTAGAATATGTGAATATGGTAATCCTTTCTTTATATCCACCACAGGTGAGAACTGAGTGTAATACTGATTCCTACAGTTTTTGTTTTTTTTTAAAAAATTTATTATTTTGTCTGTGTGTACTGTCAAATTGTATCTGACTGCTACAGGAGGAGATTGTCCCTCCTTCTCCAGCAGAGCATCTGGTGGACTCGAACCTCACACCTCTGGGATTGCAGTGCAGCTTCTTGCCACTAGGGTACCAGGGCTCCCTCTGATTCCCACAGTTTAAAGCTAAAACTACATGGCTAACACACTGAGAGACACTTAGGACATTTCAGAAGACTGATTTGCCCTTAGTAGGATCTGACCAAAAGAAACCAACCCAATGAATTCCTTTTCAAATACAGGCCGTCTTCCACCCTGTGTGTCCATTTGTAGGCAACAGTATCTATTTGCTTACTGTGGTGCTCTGATGGCAGAGCCCACAGCACTTTGCACTTTGAATCCAAAGGCTGAGCTTCTCAATTGTCTGATTCTACCAGTTATTGTGAGGGAGAAAGACAGGCGGTCTCTTCCCATTCGATTTTCAGTCTCAGAGATCTGGAGGGTCACTGTGAGTCAGAATTGATTCAGTGGTGGTGTGTGAGCTGCCTATCTCAAATGTGTTCCGAGACAATGCAGAGATAGGAGAGGGCTTTGAAGGCAACACAGAGACATACGATAAAATATTAATATTTCTGTCTTTTAAGTAAAAATGTCTTTGTATATGTATCTGGAATTCCCTAAAACAGTATGCAAAATTTCATTTTTATAATTTCTCAGGAAGAGTGTCCACAGTTTTCATCAGTTTCTCAAATGGATCTCTGATTTTGGTACAAATCCTGATTTTAATCCAGCTTACAGTTTTTGTCCCATTTCCAAGTAGATATGATTCAAGTGTTTTTAAGGACAAATCTCCTTTCCGGACTAAATAAGCTGCCTGAGCAAAGTCTTCACCTAGAAAAGAGATTATTTCTACTTGAAAGAAAATCAGGTTGGTTCGGTGGCTGGGTAGTCAAGAAAGTCAATCTGCCAGATTTCCTATGGAAAAGTACCAACCACTTGAGAGGCTGGGTGGGAGGAGGAAATATTTAAATGTAGACATTTTAAAGAGGGTTATGCTGATCTCCATGCACAAAAGAACAGGCATTTCACACCAGAAGGGAGTCAAGATTTCTCAGAAGTAAAAGCACATTAATAAGGACAATCTTAGAAAGATGTGTTCCCCAAACTTTGAGCAGTAAAACTGCCGGAACAAAGCCAAGAAAATGCTTCACATGAAAAGAGCAAAGAGCAGAGGTTCTGGCAGAAGTCTTCCTGTGTGACCTGGCGGCATGTTAACTTGAAGGTC